AGACCCCTAGTGTCCTTGGAGTTTTATTCTCGAGCATTCAAGCTAGAGTGTGTGGCCATTTGCAGGAGCCAGTGGTCTTCTCGGGATATCTTCTCCCATCTGTATTAAGATCTGTTACTCATATTTATGATTCCATGAAATGACACCCATGACAGTTGTAAAGACCATCCCGAATCCCACCACTCCAGCATACCTTGATTTACTTTGTTTTCCAGGTCTCTTGTATGAGAATACATGATCTTCCTATGGCAAAACCACAGTGTGGGTCCAGGCTTCATGCTTCCTTTGGGGTGAACCAATCCCACTTTATTTCATGGTCTCATCACAGAGCATGACAACCTCATGTTTTACTTCACCCTGGAGATCACTTGACTTTTAGGTGGTTTATAGTCTGTCACTGTCGCAGCACGAAACTACACATTGTCCTTCAAAAGCTCTTCTTCTGCATTATTCTGTCTCCTTTTCATTTCTCAGGAGTGGAATGAGTGGGTCAAAGAACATGCCTGAGACAAGGTGTCTTTTGGCTCCTGATCTCTGTGGCCAGATGACCATCCAGAGGCTGTGTGGCCTAGACACTGACCACTTCTTCTCTGTCCATGCGCTTCTAGGTCACCGAGGAGACCAGCGTCATCCTTCAGACCCTGGGGTACGCATGCACGTGTCGAGGGATAATCAACGTGAAAGGCAAGGGGGAGCTGAAGACGTACTTTGTAAACACGGAAATGTCAAGGTCCCTTTCCCAGAGCAACTTGGCATCCTGAAGAGTCGCCTTCGTTTTCAGTACAGGCCAGAAGACTGTATTTTCAGGAAGGTACCATGCACTTTCTGACTGCAAGTTCTGTCTCTCGTTTTTGATGTGCGTGCTCTGTTCTGTCCTATGGAGCCTTTTCAGACTCGTTCCTATGACCTGGTGGCATACCGTTTGGTGTCTGACGTGTGCCAAGATCGCTCTGCCACTTGCACTGTGCTTACTCCTGAGCAGAAGGAAAAGGAGTGTGTGTTATAGGAGAAATGCATCTGAAGAACTCACCAAGATGACAGATGTGAAATAAACAAAAATTCTTAAGGCAATAAAACTAGGGGGTGTATATTATCTTCCGGTGCATGTTCTTTTCTGGAAAATATGGTAGCTCGCCAACCGCATCCGCTAGTCTGATATTAAAACACACAGTATTTGTGAATAAGTTGACTCTGTCACCCCACCTGGAATTTGACTGTGTTCCCCGCGTGTGTCATCGCCAGTGGCTGTCCGCGGGCCCCAGCGGGATCCGTGGCTCTGTTGCTTCGCTCTCGTGTCTCGTGCTAGCAGCACGTTGCCATCCGTCACCAGAATTAGTTCTCACAACCTAGAACCAGTTTTGTACCAAACACGTCCAATGTTTTGATGCCATTGTCTTTTGTAAGGTTGATTCATTAAAAGTTTTACGTACTTTGGATTAGAGTCTGTATCCTTACCCGCCCCGCGCTCTTCCTTCTCCTGTGTTTTTGCGCCAGCATTGGGGTTTGTTTTCCATTCTCCTCTTGGACGGTTGTTTCAGAAAGAGCTCCCCAGAAGCAAAGGTTGAGATCTCCGTGAGTAATTGAGATCAGGACAAAGTCCGTGGTGCAGATACTTGATTTTGCCGCTCCCTGGAAGTGCTCCATGTGTCATGAGGTGCTCCGGGAAGAAATAGTTTAATGGTAAAAGGACTCTCCCAGCACCCTACCCTCCCTGTCCATGTACTGTGGCCTGCCATCAGCCGAGGGCTGCAGAATAATTTGGCACCGACTGTGTACATCAGCAGCCACAATAGTTTGAACTCATCGGGAGAAGCTGCCAGGCCCCATAAGATGCCTGTTATGTCTGAGAAGGCTTAAGAGGGCACAGAGCCAATGTTACGCATTTTTGAAGAGAGAAACTTGGGAAAATGTGTTCACGTACATCCAACTCTAGAGTTTGGGGGCTCTATCTTCACATAAGAAAATTGTACTTTGCCAAAGGGTGAAAAATAGAGCAATCATGTTTAATCTGATGTTTAAAAGCAGAGCTGCAGGTGCCAGCCTGGTTGGGCACACCCGGCTGTTTTCACAGCTCAGGGCAGGCATCTGCGAGAGGCCAAGGACCCCAATCTACCAGGAACAGCTTGTTCTGGGAACTCAGGCCCCGAGCACCAGCCCTCGTTTGATTCCCGACTGATTGTTTATTGACTGTGTGACTTTGAATGTATCTTTTAATTTCTTTTATGGGTGTTTCCTCGTTGATAGCTTATGGGATCAGTTATGACTGAAAGAGCTAATGACCATGAGAGAGCCTGGCATGTACTCAGCACTTTGTCTTGCCAGAGCTGCGCTGCCAGGGCTTGGACTCAGACTCAGGTAAAAGCACTTGTCAAAACGAGTAACTGGCCTTCGTCACGCAAGTGGGAATACAGCGTGACTTGTGGCATTGTCTGCCCTAGTCGGGAATTTTTTTGATCCTATCATTACCTCTCAGCCTTGGCCTTGATAATCGCCTAATTCTTATAAAGGTGACCGAAGGAAGAGAACTAGTGTCAGGGCATCTGTCTTCGCTCTAACTGAAATCTGGCCGGGAAGCCCTGGGGTTTGAGTGACTTTGGACTGGCCTTCTGTATCATTTGTAACCATGGTCAGCAGCCATGCCCCACAGGTTCTTCCTCCCTTAGAGTCTGCAGTACCCATCCCAGGGTGCTTTATGTCACCTCCCCTTAGGGGACACCCATAGCTGGGGGATTTGCCAAGTGCTCTTAAGCATGGCTCTTTGCCCCAACCAAGGATGTGAATTTGGTGAACAGAATTTGGTGGATTTGGTGAAAAGAACTCAAAAGGAGGCTTGTTTTTATTCCCAGAACTGTATTGCCAGGCTTACCAACAATACATTTTTTTAAAGCTATCAGACTCCACTTTGCAAAGGCCTGTGCACACACGGTTCTTCCAAAATATGATCCCCAACAGAGGCAGCAGTGCCACCTGGGGACTTGCGCATTTTCAGGCCCCAACCTGGACCCACCAGGGCAGAAGTCCTGGCTGTAGAGACCAGGGCATGTGCTGTGTTTAGATGACAAGTTGTCCAGGTGACTCCAGTCCCCAGCTGCGCCCCCTCTGTGCAAAAGAGAAAACAGGTGCAGAGAGTTCCCAGTGATCAGTGACCAAGATGAGCCTAGAATGCAAAACTGCCTCCTTCCTAAAAGTGTGCCTCCCAGTCAAGGCTTCGTAAGTTCCGGAGCTACAAACATTCCGGTGAGCAAACCATGCAGACAGGAGGGCTAGCAGCCCAGTGACAGTGGCAGCAAGCAAGCATCTCTCCTTGAAGCTCTCCTTAACCTTCAAGTCGTGCAGAAACCCCTCTCTCATAAAAATGCCTTGTGTAGTCCCCCTTAAAACTGCAGCGTTTCATACATCTGTTTAGAAATGTCTGCATCGTCATGAATCCTCCACGTTGCTCTTCCCCGGGCTCAGTGGGTGCTTTCCTAAGGACTGCAAGCACTCCACTTTCCAAGAAAGATTGACTAACCATGGACATTGGACAAATTGAACATATTCAAAATCTTTGAATTCAAAGATTTTGAATATGTTCTCTTTTATAAGGGCACTCGTGGGCTTTACGCTGTAAAAGTTGAGATGCCAACAGAAATACATTTAATTTTTCCCTGATGCCTAAAAAACAGGAGGTCTTTTGAAACCTTGTCCAATTCAGGCCCTGCCTTTTAAAAGGAGAAGGTTAAGGGAGTGGGATCTGACTTAAAGTAACTAAAAATAACTTAGTTTAACATATTTATCTTCACTTTCAGATGAAGGCATTTCTTAGAGATGCCTTGTCTTTCTTGGTAGTCAAAACTGAATAAAGAGTAATTTGTAAAAGTTTCCACAATCCAAACTTGGCATATTTTCTATTTTTTTAAACTTTATTTATTTATTCATGAGAGGCAGAGAGAGAAAGGCAGAGACATAGGCAGAAGGAGGAGCAGGCTCCACGCAGGGAGCCCGACATGGGACTCGATCCTCGGTCTCCAGGATCATGCCCTGGGCTGAAGGCGGCGCTAAACCGCTGAGCCACCTGGGCCACCCATATTTTCTATTATTGTTATAAATATAGCTTAAGGCACTCAAAGGCATTCCAAATAAACTACTGCTGTGTTTGGGAGGAAAAATAATAAAAGGCACCTACAGTGGAAAAAAAAGTTTCAAAAGAATAAAGAAATACTAAGAGGTCACTCAGCCCTGAAGTTGTCAACAAGTCAATGTCATGTCCTTAGAGAATCCAAACAAAACCAGCCATGGGGGGATCAGCAGAAAAAAAAATGAATTAGATCACCTGCTCACTAACCACGAAGCTGTGGAAACTTTCATTGCGATAGGTGAGGAATGATTTCTTCCAAGCGATCCATTCAGTAAAAATATAGCCAATGTCTTAATATTTGAGTCAGTTTCAAGTTATCTCCAAAATAAACGTTTCCATGTTGGGTTAGAAACAGGTGATTCCAAAATGAAAACTATCCAGACTAAAGTCCCAGCCCCGATGGTGGTTGCCTTAGGACCACTGATCCCCCCACACACACTCCTCACGGTTCGGAATTCCCACTCTGAAGAAATGTGGGCTTAAATCAGCCACATGAATGGCTCTGTACCATGCTGCTGGGAACGCAGGAGCCAGAATTTTACCCGAGTCTGTTAAACACCAAAGCCCAGCCTCTTCCCATGACCTCTGGCAAGGAGTGACAGTGGCATTGCTGGCCACGAAGGCCACCCATCCCTACTAGGGGTCCTCAACTATGGACCTATTCTTTATTCTTTATTCTCAGGTGGGGAGGGGGGATGTTGTAGTATCTAGAATGGAGTTATTCTAAAAGGCGATTTCATGATATCTCCTCTTGGAGGAAGGAAGACTCAGGCAGCGCTTTGCCAGCAGGCAGTGGTGGTTTCAATGGCTGGTGAGGACACCCCTCCCGGGAGCATCCCCTGGAGTCTGAAGAAACAGTGAACAAAGTCACCAGACCGCTATCAAGTGGGAAGTTTTCTTTTTATTCAAGTGCTCACAGTGGATCAGTCTCTAGCATCATTTCAGCTGACATGATCACACGTGGAAAGCATCACATGAGATGTTCATCACAGGGTCTTGGGCCAGGGTCTTCCCCACAAGCCTCAGGAGGGGAAAGGAGCTACCGGGCCCATCCCCCCACCCACTGTCAGGTGCAAGCGGCTTCAGGGCTGCTCCCTGGGAGCTGTGGGAGGGGGGACGGAAGGCCCAGGCGCAGCCCATCTGTGCTACCCCCCACGGTCCAGGCCACCGCGGGGGAGTCAGGCTGGAGAAATGTGCCCAAAGCTGGGCGCCTTGATGCTGGGGATGTCATTCTTCCTGTAGAAGTCAGCCTTCACGTGGCTGGCACGGCCGTGGTCCCGGTTCAGGGGCTCCACGGGCTGGTGTATGTGCCTCCCGTAGACCGAGGACATGAGCACTCCCACGGGCCGCTGGCGCTCCTGTGTGGGGGTTACGGGGACCCTGGCTCAGCTAACGCCCATGTGGTCACACCACCTACCTGGTGTCCGGGAAGCTGCCTCCACCTGGCTCAGCTGCACACCTGCAACCTGCTCCACTCGGGCTTCTGACGCCAGGGGAACCTTGTAACCTGTGTCAGACCTGCCCCGTGTCCTCAGGGCCGCTCAGCATCCCCAGGTCCTTCACGTCATTCCAAGGAAAGACGAAGACCCTGGGTGCCAGGTGCCCTCTGACTTCAGGCTGTGTTCTCGGTCCCTCCCTTCCCTCTCCTTGTATGCCTCCTGCCTTCTCTCTTTTCCCAAAAGCACACCTTTCCACCGCCCACCTTGTCCTCTCCCTGCACCCCATATCCCCAGCACCCCCACCTCCCCTGACCACCCTGTCCCCCCAAGCCCCCTCATCTCCCCGGCCCCCTTCCCTCCCCAGCACTCCCCCTGTCCCCTTAAGAGGCTTTATTCCTCTGCATTCCACTCCTCACTACCTGGAGTCAGTTCCCTATGTATATGACATTAAGTCGGCTATTTCCTCATAGGAATGTCAGCTCCAAGAGGACAGGGGCTTTGTGGTCACCCCCTCTATGCTCAGCGCACACAGGAGGCGCTCAAACTCCGTGGCTGATACAAGGGTGCAGGCGTGTTCTTATGACAGGGAGGCACTAGCGTCACTGCCCACCGGGAATGGACTCACATAAACTAAAACGATAGAAAAAACGTGGTGTCTGGGACTTAAATAGTAACACCTCATAGTTCACCACCTAATTTCCCATCGAAATAAAGTTTCCCTGGAAGTGACGTGGTGGTATTCTTAACAGTAGCAGCCAGGAGCAGGAGTCCACTGACCAAGAAAGAAATCCACCGGAGGCTCTTATGTTCTGATTTCTGTGCTTTGTAGAAAAGATGATGATATTTACCCATCAGCTGGCTCTTAAACATACTGTCCTCGGATCAGACTCTGTGGAGACAGTGTCCCGAGTGCACAAAGGCACAAGGAGGGTCTCAGCGCTAAGAAGATGCACAGCTTCCTCGCACCTGCCACCTGCTGTCATGCTGCCCTCCTCTCCCTGGGAACTGGGAGTTTGGCTCCTCACACACCCGTGCAGCCGACCTCAGGCAGAGGCCTCCCTTTCAGAAAATCGTGCAAACATAAAGGAGGAGCTGCCCTGTAGGTGGAGGTCCAGGGACGCTAGACTTGTGAGTGTGATTCCATCCCTGCTGCCGGGGACCCTGGGAGAACTGAGAGAGCCAGGACTCCGAAGTTAAGCAAAAGGGCACCTGGGTGGCCCAGTCAGTGAAGCGTCTGCCTTTGGCTCAGGTCATGGTCTCAGGGTCCTGGGATCGAGCCCCACGTCGGGCTCCCTGCTCAGGGGGGAGCCTGCTCATGTGCACACTCTCGGGTCTCAGCCCCGGGTGCAGCGAGGGAGAGGAGGGCCACACACCGGAGTTAGCGCAGAGCACGAGCACCCAGTCGGGTAGATGCACACACACAGCTCTAATCTGTCAGCGCTTTGTCAACAGCCTCTCTTAACATTACCTCCTCATTCACGTGAAGTCCCAGGCTTTTTGCATGCTCTCTGTCATCTCGGTGCAATTTCTGATTGTAGCCTGGGTTCCTCTTAAAAATGCAGTCGTACAGGGAAACGATTCCCGTCTGGGAATAAAAAGAAAAAGAAAGGTGCGGGTTCACTGGACGGCTGAGCCACAGAAGCCCTTGCGGAGCTTGGAAGCCAGGCTGCTCCCCAATGGACAGTGGAGAGGTGAGTATCCGTCCGCACTGTGTGCTCGGGATGATCACCCCTGAGCAGACCCTCGGCGACCAGAGCAGGTGTCCGGGAGGCCCAGTGAGGCGGGGGCACCTCCGTGGCTCCTTTCCTGCACCTGTCACAGATCCCTCCTTCACCCAGGTGGCTCCTCCTGTGCTCTGACTCCACCACTAGCACACAACCTTACAATATTAGTAATCCACTCAGTGTATGTGTTTTCCTCCTGCATTTCCACCTTTCTCATAGTTCTCAGATTTTCTGCAATAAGCTTGTACTGCTTTAAAAAAATTAGCCATAATTGAGCACTGAAACAATATAACCAAACAGAAGCTAGCCAATAGATGGGCACCTGGTACAAATCCCTCTCTGGGGAGACAGAAATACTTCCTTTAATCGGATGTGGTAACCCTAACGAATGTAATTCATAAATGCATGGATATATATGACCTATAACATACATACATATATAATATAAGCATGTCTATCAGACATAAAAATATGCGCACATGCACAGCTTTGATGTATTAGAAAATTATCCCATTAACAGATTTTATCCGAAATATCTCCATTTTTTTATCCCAAATTTCTCTTAATACAAAAATGTATCTGCCTTATCTGGTACCTAATAAAAGGAAAAGAAATCCATGTGTTAGTTCATCGTTAATCTTCATCTGTAGGTCAGGCCTGTCCTCTGTGTTCCTCTGGCCAAGTGCCAGCTGCCTTGAGTCCTCCAGCAGCAAATGCAGACACATCTTGCTGGCATTTGGGGGCACAGGGTGTCTAGCCTGTGCTTGCTTGCTTGCTTGTTTTCCAGGGTAATAATGCTAGAACAATTTCCTCCAACTGCAGGACCCAGAGGAAGAAGGTAAACAGTGAAAAGGATGCACGACATGGGCTTAGTCTGTTGGAAAACATGGACTGCCCGTTCTCACCGACCGCAGGGCTCAGGGTGGCTGGTAGCAATGGAAAGCCAGAGGGTGCTGTGGCTTCACCCTGACAAATCCCTCATGGGTCGTCTGTCCTATGCAAGACACGCCACTCCTGCTGGGGAAGCCATGAAGATAGCTCAGACACCTGGCCACTCTCCTTGTGCAATTAGTCCTCTAGTAAGGAAAACAAGGTGAGCTTTTAGGATTATTTTAGGTTCCTGAGAATTCCAATGGCAACACACCTGCAGCACTTGTTCACCTGTTTTTCCTAAATTCAGAGTCACTCCAAATGACTTAGAGGCAGGAGCTGTGGCTTTAGGTTCTATGCCCCAGTGGCCATTTAATGAGGTCACCACGCAGAAGTTCCCTGTTGGCATTGTCCTCTGTCACCTGCTGGGCTTCTGCATCTGCTCGTGCAAGGTTTTGCCTGGCCTTGGCCTCCACTTGTCCTGAAAGCCACCTGGAATACAGCTCATACACCCAGGGTTAAAAAAACAAAAAGGCCCAAATCAGTGGGGTGGGAATACCTTATTCAGTTTTGGTACTGTAAAAATCAACCAGTTATTTGGGAAAACCAATAAACCTGGGCCTTCACGTCGCATTATTGTCAAAAGTAAATTCTGGGTAGATTAGAAACACAAGTGAAAAGAAAATCCATAAGGGACCTCCTACGCATAAAAGCATCAGGGAAAATGTCACAAAGAAAATATCAATCACTTTGGTGATATAAAAAAATCAGACATTTGATAATCAAAGAAAATTAAGACTAAAAAAAAAAAAAAAAACCTGTAGGAAGGATTGTGATATCGCAGCATCTTTAACATACAGTGTGTAGGATGTCCGCAGAAGCTGAGGGCCTTGGCTGGGTGCTTCTAGTCTGGGGATGTTAAGCACACCTTGCAGTAAGCCTTTTGTGGGAAGACACCAGGCCAGAGGGTCCTGCAGTGACACAGAGAGGCTCAGTGCACCACCCACTCTGCCAGGACGAGGGGACGGAAATTCTCCAAAGGAGGGGATGCTGGCCTCTGCAAGGGGAGGCCCGCCATGCAGACCCTTCTTTTTGGGGTGCAGAGTGGAGCTGCTGGCCAGGCCCAGCTGAGGCCAGCAGCTGACTACCCTGTCACCCCCACGCCAGCCCCCTACACACAGGGTCCTCCTCTAGATGTCCCGTTGGCACCAGAATCCCTCCTGGCCTGGCTGACCCAGTGAAGTGGGTGTGTTTTGGAGAAAGCAGCTCCAGCAGGAAGGCCATGTGGCTGGCGGGTGCTGGACAGTGCCGTCCCCCTGCGTGCCCGTCCCTCTGTGCCCGTTCCGACCTGAACTTCCCGAGTTGAGTCAGCCCCTGGGGGTCCTGGGTTTGTTCTGGAGACAGATATGAGGAGGGAAGAATGTGCCCCCAAACAGAACGAGCAAGCAATGAGGGAGGCAAGGTTCCTCCACTTGTCCCTGCGCTGGAGAAGCCTACCCCAGTGCGCAGCTTTACGGGATACTGCTCTTCCCTCCTCCCGGCCTGGTTCTCTTCAGGTCCCCTAAATACTCCTTCGAAGCAGCAGTGGCGGGCGCCTGGGGGGCTCGACCGATGAAACGTCTGACTCGATTTCAGCTCAGGTCATGATCTCGGGGCCATGGGATCGAGTCCCAGCTTCAGCCCCGAGCTCAGGGGAGATTCTCTCTCCCTCTGCTCCTCCCCCTACTCATGCTGTCTCCCTCTGTCTCTAAATAAATAAATAAATAAAATCTTTAAAAAAAGCATCAGCAGCAGCAGTGCTATGAGAAGCAGTGGTGCCCCTGCCCCAGGGTTAGTCACCTATCTTGCCGTATGTCAGAGCAGTGTTTAGGAGGGCTCTCACTGCACCTGCAGGGTGTGAACAGTCTCTATCTCTCTGCTTGGCGGGGTGGATACGTACTACTTCCCAGAGTAAAAACGAATTTTTCCGTCACTGAAAAATAAGTGGGGGAAAAAAAATCCCTCACCAGGCTGGCAGCCTCACTTAGCAATGTGACTATCCATTTCCAACACGTAATCAGACTGGAAATCTGTCTTTTCCTGAATGTTAATTATTAATCTTTCTTCTTTCTTTTTGTCTTTCATTCCTTCATGGTTTGAAGCAAAACTGCATTAATAAAAACCAATCTGGATTTAGATGCTATCACAAAACAGAGCTTCTGGGTTTACTAGTATTTTGCTATTGAAATCTCTCAAGAGATCTCCTGTCTCACACGTGATGCTGCTTTTTAAACAACAAAGCAAGGGGCACTTGGGTGGCTCAGTGGTTGAAATCTGGCTCAGGGTGCGATCCTGGGGTCCTGGGATCGAGTCCCGCATCGAGCTCCCCGCATGAAGCCTGTTTCTCCCTCTGCCTATGTCTCTGCCTCTCTCTGTCTCTCATGAATATATCTAAAATAATAAGTAAAAATAAATGAAAAATAATAAAGCAAAACAAGCCCATTTATTTTCTGTCCAGTGATCTCCCTTTGTCCCTTGCATTTTGAGCGTTCAAACATACTGTGGTCATTCTGGCCATAGTGTTGGATCCCTTGCCTTCAGCTCCCCTATGGTGGAGCTGTTACTCCTAACACTGCAAAATAGCTCATCTGGTGGCCTGGGCCGACCCCACTTGTTGAGTGGAGACCTTCACTTTTTTCAACCTCCAAAGCATTTGGCTCTAACTATCATACAAGGCAAGCACCCAGCTAGGCTCCAGGAGAGAAAAGGGAGTCCCCATCTTGAACATCACAGCCTGAGAGTGGAAATAAACTCACTAATCACTCAAGGTAATACCCACGGAGCAACAGAGGTACACACAAAGTACATTGGCATGGAAGAAGAAGGATCGGCGTCTATCCGGGTTCCAGCAGGAAGTCCATGTGGCTAAAGAGGGGCTGCACTGCACCAGTATGGCCAGAGGGCACAGGGAAGTCACCTCCCTGGGTGCTACAGGTTGAATTGCATCCTCCAAAAAATTCATACGTTGAAGTCCTAACCCCTGGGATATCAGGAGGTGATTTAGAAATAAGGATGCTGACGATGTAATTCAGAGGAGGTTAGAGCAGGGTAGCGTGGGTTCCTAATCCACTGGTGTCTTTATTTTAAAAGTTCAGAAACAGACACAGATACACAGAGAGAGATGTGAAGAGATACAGGGAGAAGATGGCCATCCACAGCCGAAGGACAGCAGCCTGGAGCAGGCCCTCCCTCATAGCCTCCAAGGGAACCAACCCTGCTGACACCTTGACTTCTGGCCTCCAGAACCAGGGAACAACAGACATTTGGTGTTTAGCCCCTGCTCTGTGGTACTTTGTTATGGTGGCCCTAACAAACACACACTGGTAGGGAGCCATCGCTGTCTTTTAAACAATGGAAAGTAAGAATGGACCTAAAGCACTCTGCTTCAGGTAAACTGAGTCAGTAGACCATTCAACCTGGACAACCAGGGTAGACATCACCAATATTCAATTCTGCTCTACTCCTGACTCCATGGAGGATTAATCTCCTTTGCCCCTTCGGGCGAGTGAAGCCAAGTGACCATTTCTAAGCAATGAACTATGAGAGGGGGTGGCACGGGACTCCAGGCAGAAGCCTATGGACTCCTGAAGCTTCCTATGAGGTGTTGGCAGCTGCCATGGTGGTTGCTGAGTGACTCTCGTGGCCAGAGCCATCGCTCTGATCCCCGTTAGACATTTAACATGAGAAATAAGCCTTATTTGGGGCATTGAGACTTTGGAGGTTGCTGGTCACTGCAGCGTAACCTCATTTTTCATGCCTAACTCAAGCAGATACATGATGAAGCCCTGGCCTACCGCCTCCAGCCTACAAAGGTGCGTCTCCGGGTCGTGGGCTTCTACTGTGCCCACAGCCCCCTCCCAGAGGTTATTCACACTCTCACAAGGGGGTAAGATCTCGAACAAACTGGGATCTGAGGTCTTTGTTTCCTCCTCTCTTTCAGATCACTCAAATA